TTGTCGTGTCAAGTTCTAATTTTTATTTAATATATATATATATATCATTTTTATTTTTTTATGACCCCAAATTTATATAATTTTTATTCATAAAATTATGTAAGAATTATATATTTATAACCTAATCATGATATAAGTAAAATATCCTTAAAGAAAAGATATCCTAAAAAATGTTTAGTTTTTTTTTTTTTTTTTGGTTCATTTTCACTATCATTAAATCTTTATTATTAACCAACTTATATCTTTTTATGAAGGAAATATATATATATATATATATGTATATAAATTTTGACCATTGATGATTCAATTAAGAATCATGTTTGCAGAAAGTCAGACAAATATGGGTATGCATAGCCAGAGTGTATATAAGGTTAAAGAATATAATATTAAGGTCATGATGATGATTGGGTCTCAAAATAATAAACCCAAAACATGTTTATATTATACAAAAGAAAAGAGAAAAGATGGGAGTATTCGCATGCAATACCTAAGAAAGTTGGTAGATGTATTAGAAGAGAACGTTACATCTATACATATAATACATATATATATATATATATATTAATCCAACAGGGATTGGGTCATCCGGAAAGAAAAGAATCTATGTGGTTTGATTTGCTTTTGCAATAACCAAGGCTGCTTACCAAGAAGGAATAAAGCACATTCAAAATTATAAAGCTTCTGTCTTCTCCAAACCTGTAATATGAAAGAAAAAGAAAGAAAAAAGAGAAAGAAAGAGAAGACTGTGATTTTGTTGGTCGGTTTACATAGTAAGATCCCCAAATACTGAATGCATGTTTACATATGTATATATACACACACACATATATAAATATATAATAAAAGAATAGCATAAGATCAGTAGGAATGGAGACTGAAGGAAGGTGGCTCGGAAATCCAAGCAAAATCTCTCAGCGTTCTCTCCAAGACACGTTGAATGTTTTCATGAATCTCTGTGCAAAATTCTCCTTCCTCTTACTAGCTATGTACTTGCCAGCCAACACAGCTTTTACTTTTGTAAGCAAAATCTTCATTAAAATTTACTTCTACACATGCACCTTCTCCCCAATTTATACCCCAATCATTTTATTTAACATTGATTCAACAGATTCCCTTGTAGTAAGCTCCCACATGTTAGTCAAATATGGGTAATTATAAGCTACTATATATAGCTCATAGAGTAATTTTGAAGTGTTTCAAAATTATTGACGAATTTGTAAATCTCTTAATACGATTAATATATTTTAAACTTTTGTTAAATATTCAATATGTTGATTAAGTTTGCCAGTCTTAATAGACAGGCTAGTAACTTTCTTCTAACATGCTGTTTAGTTGCTGAACTTTATATCACATATCTACATATACATATATGTGTGTGTGTGTGTGTGTGTGTGTGTGTGTATAACAACAAACAAAATACTATTAGTTTCATATATATATTTAACTGCATGTCTTAAGTAGCCTCTTATACTTTTTAAAACATCTCAAAGAAACTCTCTAAAACATTTAAATAGTCTTGAAGCAATAAATAAAAAATGTAGAGTATTTACCCACCTTTTTTCTGTAGCAAGAAGATACTTTTGTTGGTGTGGATATTTATTACAGAGACAAAGTTTGGGCCAAGGGGCCTAGTGAGATGACCCAATTCAGTACATTTTGGGCTATGTGATTTTGACTGAGCTTTATGCAAAACTAATGGAGATTCAAATATGCTGTGAGGTGTTTAAAACTGTGGATGGAATAAGATAGTCCGATGTTGGAGTGTTGGAAATCATGTTGTTGAGTCATGAATAAGTTAGAATTGAAACGAATATTTGGTTTTGTATAGTTGAGTGATTGACCCAACCATTTATAGTGTACTTGTAGGATGTCGAGATAGTTCTTAAGGTTAGTTTTAGTGCATGCATCAAATAGGAAAAGATCATCAATATATAGGATATGGGATTTTGAGGAAAGCAGTTTAGTTGAGCTAAAAAGAACTTTTATGAAGTAATGTGTTTCTATTTAGAGTTAATATGCAAGAAAGAAGTAGTACACAATATGAATAAAAATAAGGAAAGATGGCAGATCCCCTTATCTAAGACCTCTATAAGAAAGATTGGGACGACCATTAATAATGAGTTAGTAAGAGATAGTAGTATAACATTGAGAAAGAAGTTGCATTACTTTCAAAAAATAGCAAATAGAATGAAGAACTTGAGTGATAAAATGTTATTTAGTATGATCAAATGCTTTGCTCATATTTCATTTGATCAAAACCAATTCTTTTTTTTTTTTGTTTTATTTTATTTGTTAGTATAAGACATATGACTTTGTAAAAATATCAAAAAAGGTAAATCAATTACGAAATATTTAAAGAAGTCAAATTCATTATAGATAAATCATTGCATTTGGTTAACCCCATCTCTTGTTAAATTTAATTTACTACAATATTGTACAATTTTAGTCCTATTTTATCATCATTTAGTTAATTCTCCGAATCTTTGCCCTATTCCATTACTACTCATGAGTTGTATTGGCATTATTTAGCTCATGACATCATACTAAAATTTCTTCATAAATCCAATATGGTCAATATGGTTTAGAGTTCCTAACAAGCTCATATCTTTTGGAACATTTGCTTAATTAACAATGATTTTTCAAGGAGATGCTCATTCAGTTCGAGTTAAGTTTGTGGTTTTCCTAATTGTTCTATAGGTCAGTATAAAAAACAACACATTGAAAGGAATTATTATTGGATTATGATGGAAATGATGAATCACAATCCCGTATAGCATCTTGAATTATTTTCAAGAGCAAGACAGATTTAAAGTACAAAATGAAAAATGCATAATCAGATTCAGAACCTAAAAAAAATTAAAAAACTTCATAAAAGAATCTAGTTAAACTCAAAAAGAAAATGAAGTTAAAACACCTAATAGGGTATGAAAAACAAAGATAAGATAAAACATACTTGTAACAAAAAGGGATTAGTAAATTACAATGTATTTAAAACATGCTTGAAGTGCTACTATAAACACCAAGAAATTTAGGATATGAAACAACACATTTAAAAATAAAATTGACAAACATGAAACAAATATGGTCGGTAAATATGACAACAAATAAAATAAAGGAGAGTTAGGCGTCGGAGCTCATAAGGACATGCATATTTAAATACTTCACATTCGCTTTATCATTCAAACAAGATTTTTGGAAACAGAAAATAAAGGGGAAAAAAGAAAAGAAAAAATCTCATTCTCTTATTTGCGCCATTCTTACATTTTCGTAAATTATAACAACGCTCACATCAAATTAATCTCAATCATTTCATGCTTTCAATGAGATTACATCAACTATTATGCATACGGGAAACATAAGCAGAAGAGTATCACTAAATTTCATTTTCATAGCATTTATATTTTGGAAGACACAACCAATACAGGGAATAAGAGTTTTAGGTTCTTAGATATAGATCTAATATGCTTTATGTTTTATGTAAACTAACAATACACTTTGACTGGAATTGAAAAGCCAACGAAAGTAATCATTTCTGAGATGTTTTATGTAACTTAACAAATTTTAATATAGCTGTAAATAATTCAGGTTTTCTGAGAGACCACCCCCGTATAAAGGGTAAAGGAAAGTGCTTCTGCTTTTCTTTAGGAGTACATTAAACTGATGGAAGGGACAACTTATTTTTGCTCCACAAAACCCTGTTGGCTACATTGTTTCTCAGTCTTGGAGCTCTACACTGACGTCAGAATATGTTCTGAAATTACAAAATTGAACGAGTGAAACGCCAATAAAGTGCTTCAAATCAAAAGAGAGGTTCCCCACATCCATCATTTAAACAGTGGAGGAATACAGGCCCCTGTGTAAAAGCTGGAGTAATCACTTGCCAATGGAATATATATCTAGTTGGTGGAATTCTATACATTTTCATATTCAATTTTTGATACCGAATAAAACAAATCTTGGTTTTTTTTTTCCCTTGTGATGGGCCGGGAAGAGGGGGAACATGTCAAGTATCCGCTTGGGATCATGTCTTCTTACAACTATTCTGGATGTGGGTTGTATGCTTTCAGGGAGAAGTGGGCTATTTCATTACATTGGTCATGGACATTTGTTGTTGAACCAGAATTACCGACTCTGAAATTGGCTGGCACCTGGTCGATACTCTCCAATGCCTAGAAGGTCCTGCTAGCACAGAATTGCTCATTCAGAGGGGAAACAGATAAAATATGTGCTGAAAGATGGGCTATTTCTGGGCCTAATGATCTTTCCGGATATAACGACAATATGAATCAGCACAAGCAGTACTTCAAATTGTAAAGAAATTGCAGTTTTGCTCCTTATTGTCATTGATCAGCATAAGCAATGGAACCACAAGTCAGCTAATGGACTTTCAGAAAATTAACATGTAAAGCCATAAACAGCAAAACAAGAGCAAAACCCATTTCGTTAAGGGAATAGAAGACAGGTTTGATGTGCACAGCAATCAGATATGTGTGATATGACAGCTTAATTCTCAAAAGTTCAACAAAATCTTCCACATCTTGGAAATATGTGGAAATTTACAAAATGGAAAAGCCTATTGAGTTTATTGATCATGTCAGGCAGATAAGAACTGAACCAGTTCAGCTAGGCCTAGCATGCAACATTCATACCAGGGTCCACCAGAATCATTTTGAAGCTAATTAACCGTCTCTTTTTAGGCAATAAAATCAAAGTAGCCAATATTAGGAGAAAAAGAACATACCTGGCAAGCTTTATTTTTTGCTCTTGTTTCTGCTGTACTAGGGATATCATTATTTGGTTTTATAAATTTCTTCTCACGTCGATCACATGAACCCCATCCATCCGAAAACCTGCCACCTCTGATGGTAAGAAAAATAGGAGTCAACTTAGTTACCAATAGAAAGTCTCATGAATGCAGTTTCATTTTTTTGGCTAGAAATATATTCACAACTATTTAATTGCTCTATGCCTAATTCGTGAGAGGTGATAAACCCAAGAACATACTGCATATATGCCCGAACTACAAACTCGGCGCGCTGAACATTGTGGTTTTCGTCGTATTCAATAGTCTTGTCTTTGATTTCAAAAGAAAGATTGAAGTAAAATGATATCTTCCTCCAACCTGTAAAGGTGTATAATCCACATTAAATCCCTCTTTTAACACTAACAAAAATGAACTATTGATATCATTCTTCACCTGTCTTTTTTATGAAGGGGTGCCCAGAAATCATAGTGTAATCGGATTTCTCCAGGATCTGGATATTTAACAATACAAAACAGATTTTGATTAGATGAAAATAGAGTTTAAAAACTGTTTAAAAGATCTTGCGAGATGATAAAAGATATAAGTACGTCCAAATACTTAGAAAGATCAGCATGGACTTATAACTGCAGCAAATATCTCGAGTCTGAAATATGTGCATTTATTGCATTGGCGAACAAAGAATATTCATGCTTACAGATTTTATACCCCAAATTAGTATGAACAAGACAAATATAATATAGAATATGTTTAAATAAATCAACAATTTCTGTAGAATTGATTTAAAAATTCACAATTAACAGATAATAATATTTTATTAGAATTTTTGAAATTTCAGATGGAAGTAAAATAATGCATTTTAAATTTAAAAAATTTAATGTAAGTCGAAATATATTATTTTATCTTCACATGAGCTATGTTTGAAGATTTACATTGTATTCACTTGCAAGTCCATAATTATTCAGATAGAAGTTGAAATATATTACCCCACTTCCACATAGAATTCCATATCAATTCAAGATTTATGACATTCAAATAGAACTAAAATAAAAATTAGAATTAGCAATTACCTATAATTGAATTTAAGATTGACCAAATGATTCAATAAGGTGGAAACCAACAAATTAAGGTTGCAATTACCCATATTATGACTAATATGAAAAATGTCTAGTGCATCAAGTAACAAGACACTATTAGTGAACTGAGGACTCAGAGTTTGATTTTGAGTCCTCCACCAATCTGGTCTTGAAAAAACTAAATTCAAATTCAAATTAGAAATTGATTAAAAGTTAAGCAGAAAATAAACGAATCTCAGCTTAGAGTTAATTTGCATTCTCTTACTGCTGAATTGAGAATATACTCCCAAAAGAATTTCACAAAATAGTTCATTTCTTCCAATTTCAAATATAATCTTCTGGGAAACTATAAATGCGTGAGTAAAGTTGGTCCAAACAAGAAAACTATCACTTGTATACACCAAATCAGTCTATTAATCAACTGCATTGATAGTAACAGTATGGACATTGAATCAAACGGGCAACCATGAGATTATTTCATCTATTTGATTAATGCGAATCAGCTAAACATTTTCACAGAAAATCAAACACTACAAACTTCATATATTCACACATCTGCTTGGCACTCGCTTCTCTGATTTGAATGGATAATAGCCGTCCGTTGAAATCCTAAACCCTAAATTCAGTAGATTAAGTTTACAAAAGAATCAGTGTCTTATAGGAAACGCATACTGGGGAAACCATTGTTCGACCTTTCATCAAACACCTAGAAGGCAAGAAAGCAACCCCCGCCCCGCCCAAAAAAAAAAACCAAAGAAAAAGAGAGAAATGAACATACGACTAATTTGCAATCACTTTAACAATTAAAATTTCTATGGCTACAAAGTCAATGCCGGTTTCTGATACTAAGGAAAGGTAAAATGAGCAAGCAAAAACAAAGACGAATCAATTACCGCCATAGCCGCATTCTGATACTCCTTAAACAACGAAACTGAAGGAAAACTCCCGGACAAACTGTGCCGCATAACATCTCTCTCGTCGCTCCTCCCACTACTTCCGGGAGGAGAAGCCTCCGAGACATCGCAAGATCTCCCTATCTCAGGCGACAAGAAACTCTCCGGGGCCGAAAACATCGTATTTGTGGGCGAAGTTTTGTGGACAGTCCTAACCAGAACAAGAGGACTAGTGGTCTCACTCATCTCGGAGGGTAAAGACCTGGCCATCTTGTGCGGTCGGTGATTGGCCACGAATGAGTCTCGATGTGCGTTAGGAGAAGGGAATCTGTGACTGCGGGGCTGGTTTCTAGGATTTTGAGGCAGCTTCGGGGACGAAGAAGGGTGTGAGTTCGGGGCAGATGGAGATTGGAAGTTGATAGGCAGAGACTTGATGGGCTTTGAGGAGGCGATGGAGTGAGAGGCTGCAGTAGAGTCGATCACAGCCCACAAAGCAGCGTCGTCTAGGTCCTTCTCATCGATGGAATATGAAATAGGCAAGGACATCGTCTTCTTCCTTCAGCTCTGCTTCTTCCTTCTTCTCTCACACCGAAGCGCGCTGGTGTTCACTTTTGAAATTCAAACTCAAGTTCGAGGAGCCCCTCCAAGTAAACAAAACGGTGTCGTAGCTCTCAGCTTATTGGAGAAGCGGCAACAACTTTGGGCTCATAATATAATCTGCTAACTTATAAAAATTTGGGTCTCATTCAATTCAAAGCGTTGATTTTAATTTTAAAAATAAAATGAATGATTATATATTATAATACTATGAATTTATGGATCGATAATAATCGTGAATATAAAAATAAGTTTCGGAACATTTGCAAATAAGATGGGTTGATATCAAAAGTTTTCGATAAATTATAAATGTTAAGAGAAAGAACAAGTTAATGACATAATTAAGTATTAATTAGGAACCTGTTAAATTAAGTACAATGCATAAATAAAATGAGAGAATGAAATAGAAATTGTAAGTTTAATTTTTTTATGGCACACGCACTTATTTTTCTCTTTTAAATCGTCGCTTGAGTATTCAATTGAATTTTAGTAAAATTCTTACAAGTGCTAATTTGTAGTATATAATTTATTTTAGTAATAAATTCATCTCTTACGAGAATTAAAATTTTTTTTACAATATTATTTATTTCGTAAAATTTTTTTATTAACATTTTTGTAGAAAAGTTTCGCATTTTTTCACAAGAGTTTCGTATTTTTTCACAAAAGGTTTTTCGAACCCTTCAACGAGAGATTCATACGATTTTTGGTAACGAAATTTACGTGTTCTTTCAAAAGAGTCAAAACTCTTTCACGAAAGTACTTTTCTTACTCAGATTCTATATCCTTGGTAGAACCTCTCCTCTCACAAAAGCAAGACTCCCCTTTTTTAATGATTCTAAATCCTTTCGTTACAACAGATTTTTTTCTCGACGAACAAGTTGGAAGTGTACAAGTTTTTGAAGAGTTATTTTTCCCAGTCAAAACGTGATAAAAGGGTTGACCAGGCTTGGGAATTTTGTTTCTTGGTGCTCCCCCACCACCTCACATGAATGGGTCCCACTAATTCCACGTGGCAAGAATTGATCGGTTACCCACAAATCTCACAATGTGGCGCCAACTTCCTTACGTCTGTAGACGTGATCGTAACGGATCCAATTGAATTGACCGTTTCCTTTTATTGGATTTTCACAACCCCAAAAATAAATAAAATAAAAACAAGTTTTAACTTAACGGTAACCACCACCACCACCACCCCCACCCCCTTCTTTTCCTCCCATCCTTTCTTCTCCCTCCTCCCCAAAATCTCACTGTCTGAAACCAAAAACAAAAAAATCACAAAACACCTTCCACTTTCTTTTGATTTTTTCATTTTTTTCTTATTTCTTTTTCCGGATTTCATGTGGGGAAATGGACGTCGCCAACAGGTTAGATCGAAGGAAGACTCTTACCATGAACTGGGCTGGGCTCGGGGATCATGACGACGACGATGACAGGTTTTTTGAGAGCTGTGATAGAATATCTTCCGTCATGTCTTTGGACCTTGCTTCTTCTGGCTCCGATGAGGATGACGACGACTACGATGACTGTCGTATCTCCTTCGCCTCCGCTGTTTCCTCTATCGTCCCCAACAAGGAATTTCGAGCTCCAGCCATGTCTCCCGATTACGATATCTGGATGGCCGCTCCGGGATCCATTAAGGAGCGTCGCAAGCGACTTCTGCACGGAATGGGTCTCGCCGCCGACAAGAATCTCCTTCGGGTCACCAGCGTCGAGTTCAAACGCGCTGTTTCCGTCAAGCCCGTCAACGGCGAGGTCCCTGACGCAGTCCACGATGATTCCAAGTCGACTCCTTCCCCTTCACCTCCGGTGCGGGTTCTGCTCGTGCGGTCTAGATCCGAATCGGATATCGAGTCTTTCTCTGTGGATAAAATCAGGAAAGAGGAGATCCTGGGAGTTGTATCTAAACAACGCCTCACGAGAACCTCTTCCACCATAGCCGCACAATGCGCGCGAATTTGCCCTTATCAGACTCCCGCCAGAACGCCGCTGAATGATGGCGGACATGGGCGGTCTCCCGGTGGTGGTTCATTCACGCCGCTTCTACCGAACGGAGGATTCGGTGCATTTTTCTTGATAAAGAATCTGGATACGGGGAAGGAGTTTATCGTTAAGGAGTACGACGAAGATGGGATGTGGAACAGACTGAGTGATCTTCAAACGGGTAAGCAGCTGACAATGGAGGAATTCGAGAAATGCGTCGGGTATTCGCCAGTGGTTAAGGAGCTTATGCGACGAGAGAACGTGAATAGGATGCAGGTTGAGGGAGCCAATATTGACTTTCGGAAATTCAATTCATATCTATCGAAAAGCTTGAGAATGAGCAAGAGAAGAGGAGCTGCTTTGTTGAAGAACATAAAAGGTGTTGCCAATTCCATGAGCTTAAGGGTTAACGAGAAAGAGAAAGAAATTGGGAATATACCAGCAATGACAGATCCAAAACAGGGAAAGAATGGTTGGGTTAAAGTTAGGCAAACAGGGAAATCATACAAGGAGCTTAGTGCATTGCATTTGAGTCAAGAAATTCAGGCTCATCAGGGATCCATTTGGACTATCAAGTTCAGTTTGGATGCTCATTTGTTGGCGAGTGCAGGGGAGGATCGAGTAATTCATGTTTGGGAGGTTCAAGAATGTGAGATTATGTCGATGAATGAAGGGAGTTTGACTCCCCTTCACCCTTCCATGGACAAGCCTAGCATTGGTGAGGTTCCACTAATGCCCTCAGAAAAGAAGAAGAAGGGGAAAGGCTCAAGTGCCAAAAAGGGAAATCATATTCCTGACTACGTCCATGCCCCTGAAACTGTCTTCTCCCTCTCTGAGAAACCAATCTGCTCTTTCAAGGGTCATTTGGATGATGTCTTGGACTTATCCTGGTCCAGATCTCAGGTTACCTTCTTTTCTCTTTCAATTCTTATTCTTAGTTTAAGAGTTTGATTCAAATTACTCTCATTCAATTCCTAGTTCTCAGTTCTTACTTTTTAGTTATTTGATAGCTAGAATCTAGTTAATTTGCACATTCTTGACGTCTAAATCCACTTTACTTCTTAGTTATTTGATAGGTAAAATCTAGGTATTTTTATTAAAGTTTTTGTCATACTTGTATTGTAATATAATTTGTATTGAAGTGAAATTTAGAAAAGATATAACTTGTAGCTACCTTCTGTTGGTATGCAGCTACTGCTTTCATCTTCTATGGACAAAACAGTCAGACTATGGGACTTGGAATCCAGGAGCTGTTTAAAATTGTTTGCTCACAATGATTATGGTAACATTTGTTGTGTTTAACGAAAGGAATTACTATAATTATGACTAGAATTTCTTGGAACTCTTAGACATGGAGCTTTGCTATTGTTTGGGTTTGACAGTAACTTGTATACAATTCAATCCGACGGATGATGATTATTTCATCAGCGGCTCACTTGATGCGAAGGTTCGAATATGGAACATACCTGACCGGTACGTTGTCGACTGGACAGATATTCATGAAATGGTCACCTCTGCTTGTTATACGCCTGACGGCCAGGTCTGCCTATACATAATTCTCATGAAAACTAGGTTTTCTTATAAGCATAAAAAAACTGTTAGAGTTGATGTTACTCATTTGTTTGATGTTTTTTGTTTCTGAGTTTTCAGGGTGCCTTTGTTGGTACGCATAAAGGGAGTTGCCGCTTGTACAATACAGAAGGTACCAAATAGTTTACCACTTAGTTCAAGATAGAGTACTAAATATAAAGATTTAGAAATACAAAGGATCCTTTTTAACCCAAGAGAGTACAAAATTTCTAACAAAATGCTTTCAAGTTAAACACTAGCACAAAAATAAGAGACTATCACAGCTCTTGGTAAAATTTAGACTAGCATAGGATGAAATTGGATATAATTGAATAGAACTAAGCATAGCTAGAACAGTTTGTTTTGTATAAATAGATTAGAACAGATCAAGATATTCGCCTAATTACCTAAAAATGATATGTTGATTGTTCTTTCTTTTTTTCTTTTGTAGTTGCACAAGATATATTGTTATATTTACAAAATTTATTTCAATTAAGACTGTAATAAAAAATATAAATGCAACAAATTGAAAAAATGATTTTTAATTTAAAATTAATAAACCATTTTAAGTAACTTCGATTTAATAGAATGTAAAATAATATAGTTCTACTAATTATCAAAGCAAATGGTCCCCGTAATTGAATTCTTTTTCATAGAGAAAACCCACACTTGTTTTTCAAATCAGTACTAAATTATGAAGTTGAAGCAAATATAGATTTTGTCTCAAATTTAAACAAATTATATCAATAACCTTTTCTCTTTTTTCTTTTCCGAGGTAGGTTGTAAATTAACTCAACAAACCCAGATTGATTTACGGATTAAAAAGAAGTCTCATGGGAAAAAAGTTACTGGCTTTCAGGTACTATTCTTTTTGCCTCTTAATGCAACTCATCACAATTTGTTTACAAGGTTAGTTTCATGTTGCTGCTGGAAGTTGAGTGCCCCCCCCCCTCTGTGTTTTAACAGTTTTCTCCAGGAAATCCATCTGAAGTGCTTGTTACTTCTGCTGATTCTCGTATTCGAATCTTGGATGGTGCAGAAATCATTCATAAATTCAGAGGTAACTCAAAAGATTTGTTTTTTAATGTTTGTCCCTGGAGTTTTTTTTGAAAATGACAATACATTTGTTGTTTTGCTAACAGGTTTTCGAAACACCAGTAGCCAGATTGCAGCTTCATTTAGTTTAGATGGAAAACATATTATATGTGCAAGCGAAGATTCTCATGTTTATGTCTGGAAGCACGATGATTCTCGAAATGCAAGCACTGGAAAAAGAACTGTAACTAACACAAGATCTCATGAACAATTCCAGTGTAGAGATGTCTCGGTAGCAATCCCGTGGCCAGGTACTATAAAGGGTGATCTCCCACCTATGCCACTACATTCGAAAAGGCATTCAAGACGTATCAGCTCACAACCTCCTTCTGTTGGATCACCAACTAAGGAAGACTCCTCTGCTGTAGCAAACAGTAAGAGGATGTTGCCACCTCTTCCAAAGAAAGTTAACCCCATAGAACGAACTATAACTCCTCCAGAAGAAGATCTCGTGCAGATTTCCCGGTCTGAATCAGGCATTGGTGAGTCATTCAGTATGAACTCTCCTCCCTCAATAACATCTGGCGATTCTCCTTCCATTTCTGCAGCTTCCAACTCTAATTCTGATCTAGTGACGCATGGGGATTCACCGTCTATCTCTGCCACGGCTGCTGCATCTAATCATTCTGCTTCAATTAGCCATGGTGATTCACCTTCTATCTCTGCTACTGCTGCTGCATTGAATCATTCTTCTTCAATTAGAAATTGTGATTCACCCTCCATTTCTGCTGCTTCTAATATCAATTCTGCTTCAATAAGAAATGGTGATTCATTTTCAATTTCTGCTGCTGTCAACACCAATTCTCCCTCAATAAAATATGGTGATTCACTTTCAATTTCGAGTGCTTCAAGGTGTGGTGATTCACCTTCCATATCTGCCAGCTCCCATGCGCCATCTTCATCTTGGTCATCTTCTTGGTCTTGGTTTGATGTTAGTAGCCATGGAGCACACACTATACAACCAACAGCATGGGGCATGGTAATTGTGACAGCAACATTGGGAGGTGAAATAAGAACTTACCAAAATTTTGGCTTACCACGTAGACTTGGTCGCCAGGCAAACCTTTTTTGAAACTAAAAGAAGTGGCTTTTTCATTAGTCAAAGGTGTTAGCAGTGTTATCTTTCTACCTCAAGAGTACTTTAGTCTTGAAGTATGATTATGTATAGGAATCTAAACGTACCGTGTTATACAGGTAGGAGCTAAAGCCATGGTGCAATACTTGTTTTGCTTTCTCAGTTTTGTAAGTGTTTAGTGTTGTATTTGAAGATGTTTAGGAGAATTTTTGAATTGATTTCATAAGTTTGAGTTCAAGATATATATAGACTGTACAGTTGAGACACTTTACGTGTTGTTAAGCAGATTTATACATATATATAGAGATATAATAACATTCTATTCTAAGTTAGAACCAGAGTTTTACAAATGAAACTAAATTTCAGACATGATTTGATCTTTGAGATACAGTAACATTCTATTCTAAGCTAGATTCAGAATTGTATAAGTGAGACTCAGTTTCAGACACGATTTGATTCTCATATACATTTATATAGAGATACAATAACATTCTATCCTGAGCTAGAGCTAGAGTTCTATAAGTGAGATTCAGTTTCAGCCCTGATTTGATCCTTTTTACATGCCCCCTCTGAAAGGAAGTTTGTGTTAATAATAATAATAATAATAATAATAGTAGAGGGGCCAATATACAATTTTATTCCAGAATTTCATTTATAATTTTTTTAGTTCCTGATAAACACAATTAATTTACTTGAGCGACTATGGTTTCACAAATTGTCCCTGTTGTTCAAATTCCCACCGCCCCATTAACATTGGAAGAACAATTAACATCACCATCTTCTAATGAACAAATACCCCTAAGTATTCCCACACCCCCAGTGTGTGTGTGTGTGTGTGTGTGTATATATACCCATCAAGAAACTCTCAGATATCTTAAACTCTTTCCGTTAAAATTTGAATGTTGGAAACTTGGAGCATTAATTCTGTAATTGTACGCAGAGTAAGCATGACAGTCAACATATCCACCATCAAAACCTCATCAGAGGGCGCATGGCAAGGCCAGAATCCTCTGGACTACGCCTTTCCTTTGTTAATCCTCCAAACAACTTTAGTCCTTTCCATCACCCGCTTCCTCTCCATCCTCCTCAAACCCCTCAGACAACCCAAAGTCATTGCCGAGATTCTTGTGAGTAATCATCATATATTCATTAGATATATATATACTTTTATGTAAGTGTGTATTATATAGTTTACTTGGGTTTTGTCTATCAGGGTGGGATTCTTTTGGGACCATCTGGTATAGGCCGAAACAAGAAGTTCTTACAGCTTGTTTTCCCTTCATGGAGCACTCCTATACTGGAATCTGCTGCAACCATTGGCCTTCTCTTCTTTCTTTTCCTCGTGGGTCTGGAGCTGGACTTAACCTCCATTAGACGAAGCGGCAAGAAAGCTTTCGGCATAGCACTCGCCGGAATATCTCTTCCATTTGTCTTTGGAGCCGCAGTGTCTCTTCTTCTCCGCAAGGGAGAAAACAAAGTGGGATACGTTCAGTATCTCATGTTCATGGGTGTCGTCTTCTCCATCACAGCTTTCCCTGTTCTCGCCCGCATTCTAGCTGAACTCAAGCTCCTAACCACTCACGTAGGACAAACCGCCATGGCTGCAGCTGCTCTAAACGACGTCGCCGCATGGATCTTGCTGGCTCTAGCCGTCGCATTATCAGGCAATAAAGGAAATCAAAACGGCACGCTGATATCCGTCGAGGTGCTTATCTCGGCGGTTGCCTTTGTGGGTTTCATGATGTTGATCGTCCGACCCATGATGAACTGGGTAGCCCACCAGTGCGCACTTCGTCACGACGCGTGCATCTGCATGACCTTAGCCGGAGTGTTGGTGTCCGGGTTCATGACAGATATGATAGGGATCCACGCCATTTTTGGGGCTTTTATCTTTGGGTTGACGATCCCGAAAGAGGGAGATTTTGCGGGGAGACTGGTGAAGAGGATAGAGGATTTTGTGTGCAGTTTGCTGTTGCCACTTTACTTCGCGTCGAGTGGGTTGAAAACAGACGTGGGTAAAATACGAGGAGGTGAGGCGTGGGGTTTGGTGGTGGTGGTGATATCGGCGGCGTCTGTGGGGAAGATATTGGGGACGTTCATGGTGGCGATGGTGTGTAGGATGACGATGAGAGAATCGTTAGCACTGGGAGTGTTGATGAACACCAAAGGATTAGTGGAACTGATTCTGCTGAATATTGGCAAGGAGAAGAAGGTGATGTCTCTCTCTCTCACCATCTTCTTTTTCATTACTTTCCCATAATTTTTATATAAATTCATTAATTAGTCTTTACACCTCTAAGATATATTAAATAGTACTTTAAAATAAGAATATTGTTTGTTCGAATCCATAATCTTAATTAAATATAATTGAACTAACCATGATCTTATAATCTCTTACAAGTCTTTTTATTAATTAAGTTTTCGTGCATGCATATTATCTCACCTATATGTGTGTATATATATATGTATACATACAGTCACATATGACTCAATATAAAATATACATTTTTTCTTTGGGTTTTGGTACGAAATCCAAGTAATCTGATTCTTTTTTTCTCTATGAGCTTTCAGTTTTAGTATTCTTGTTCTCTTCTTTTTCTTTCTGGTCGACTATTGAATAATTATATTATTCTTCATGCACCATCATCTTTAAACATCCAGAAATGGAGCACTTGCCGAACATTTGTGTTTGCCTATTCCTCCTGATGGAATATATATATGTATATATACGTTCTGCTAATATCAAAATTATAAAAGATGAAACTGATATTCAGAAAAGAAGAACCAAATAAGGAATATGAATTTATTCAATTAAAAGCTAGGTTATTTAGCACTGTTATAGATTATTGTTTATCATGAGTGGAGTAGAACCACATCAAGTTCACAAAACAGACACGACAGATAATATACTCTTTCCTCAATCAAGTCTTTGTTCCAAGTATTTCTATTTCATATATTAATGAATTTTCGTTATATCATTCATCTGATAATTTGTTATTTCACACCCGAATCGCCTGTAGTCGATGATAAATACATGTTCATTTTCTCTAATCTTATTCCAATAGAAAGTTAAATTTCATGTGGGTTGGCTTGATTACTATTCAACTTATACCATCTTTTTTGTGATTTACTTTGTTTTCTATTTTACATTTATTGTCAGTCTTTTGGAATGTATGTCTGCATATAAAACTTTGAATCTAAACAAATCAAAATTAGTAGAAAAATACCAAAAAGATTACGAGATAAAATTGTCTAAACAACACAAAAAAAACCAAAAGATACCAGATTAATTTAATTCTAATCAAGCTAATTTTGTAATTAACTAAACCCAGGTGCTTAATGATGAGAGCTTCGCAATCCTGGTTTTAATGGCAATCGTCACCAGCTTCATCACAACACCAACAGTAATAGCCATCTATAAACCTGCTCGTGGCATCTCCGGTCGAACCCACCGGAAACTTAACGACTTATCCACCACTCCCGACGAGGAGCTGAGAATTCTGGCTTGCCTCCGGGGACCTGAAAGTATAACCTCCATTATCACTCTCATCGAATCAACCAACAGATCCCCACTCAAGCTCTTCATCATGCACCTGGTCGAGCTCACTGATCGCTCATCTTCCATTATCATGGTCCAAAGAGCTCGTAAAAATGGCCTCCCTTTCATTACCCACTTTCGTCGTAGACTCGGCTGGTGGCATGACCAAGTGGGTGAAGCTTTTCAAGCTTACAGTCAACTGGGTCGGATCTCAATCCGGCACATAACAGCTATTTCTTCGTTATCCACCATGGACGAGGATATTTGTCAAGTGGCAGACAAGAAGAGAGTGTCTCTCATTATCTTACCCTTTCATAAACAGTGGAAGGGTGGGAGTGAGGAGAGAGTAGAAAATGTGGGAGATGAATGGAGATTGGTGAACCAGAGAGTTGGGAAGAATGCACCTTGCTCGGTGGCAGTGCTTGTAGATCGTGGATTGGGTGGTGGAGGACAGACTACCATGGCAACACGAAAAGTCTGTGTAATGTTTTTTGGCGGAGGTGATGATCGTGAAGCCCTAGAGTTGGGGAAGAGAATGGCTCAACACCCTGCTGTCAATTTCACTCTTTTTAGGTTCATTAAGGAAAATGAAGAAACTGGTTTCTCAACTTCGTCCCTGCAAAAAGACCAGAGCTCCTTAGCCACTAAAAATGACAAGGTAAGTTGCCTTCTCTTAAATAGTTTTTCCACACATTATTCTTCTCTCTTTTCCCTTTTTTTTTTAGTTTAAAATTCTTTCATAAATACAGTATGGAAATATTAATTTTTCATAAAATTTTAAACTTGAAATGCTTCTTTTAATGAATATTTATATATTTCAAAAATAAAGTTCATCCAATATTCAAAACCCCAGTAATATAGGTTTTCTCTTATGATGAAAGTTCCTTTGTAACTCACTACACTCTCATTCAACTAAAATATTGCATCATGTGGTGAAATAAAAGTGTTATAGTAACTAGTTTTCATCATTTTGGATCTCAATTCAGGAATTGGATGACGATGCCATAAGAGAGTTCATGAGTAAAATGGGGTGGTGCGATCGAGTATATAGAAAAAATAGTTTCCGACATTACAGAAGAAGTATTGGCCATAGGTCGTGGTGGAGAATTTGAGTTAATAATGGTGGGAAAGGGAAGGTCCCCATTAGATGTAATGGTTGATGTTGCAAACCACCAGGTTGAGTCCGTCGAGTTGGGTCCTATAGGCGACTTGTTAGCTCACCCAGTACATGGAATAGTGTCTTCTGTGCTTGTAATTCGACAGTACCAAATTGCAGATGCCTCTCAAGCTTCAATATCTATGGTTAATAGCACCATTGATGCATGAACAAATGAAGAAGAGACTTTTAAAGATTTTGTATGTTAGTTTTTAAACAATAATAATTTAAAAACATTATAATATAACGCCAAACAATCATTATTTATAAGTAATGTTATCCTTTGGACTTACAATAGCACTATCTTTTTTAAGTTTGTACAAATTTATTTGTAATATTATGTAATTTAGCTGGTTGTGGATAATCATGCAGTATTTGGTTGTATCCCTCTTGGAAGTGTATAGGTCAAGTTTCATACTTTTTGGAAGTGCCAATCAACAACTTATCTTTTTATTTTAAAATCTTTTTTGTTTTTCGTTTAATAAAAGATCGTATAAATTTATTATTACAAAATTTTTTTATCAATATTTATATGAAAGAATTTTTTTTTCATAATTATATCTCATATTTTTTAAAAGAGAGAGAGAGGAGTGAATTGAACTTCTCAACTTTTTAATTTTTAACAAATCATGAAATGTAATAAGTAATGTATTTAAATTTTTAAGATATAATTAATGCAACTGTTATAAACGATATCTACCAATCAAGCAAATAAAAGAAATAGAAAATATGGTGAAACCCAAATAAGCAAAGATTTAAAAAAAAAAAAAAATTGAAGTTGGGGCATTCTTAGATATTAAAATTTTGATGTTAAATTATTATTTGATTCAACTCTTGATTA